CAGGTGTATTTCGACAACTACAATTCAAGCGATGTTTACCACAACGCAAAATGTAACTTCTTTCATGGAATTTGAAACAAATGCGTCCCTTGTGGATAAGTTTGTAGTGAAAAAGCCTGCTGCTGAAAAAGCCTGCTGAAAAGACTTCTGCCAAATTTTAACTGTGAAAGATGAGATAGAGCACGAAAATACCCCTTCCACGTAGGTGATACATTGTAGGCTGAAGATGCAATGTGATTGATCATCTTCGGTAGTCTGTGGTGGACAAGCACCTCAAGTCTTTTTTTCAAAATTTATGTTTATTTTTTTCTTTATGTTCAATTTGTCTTTGAAGCAGCACAAATAGAGTGATTTTCTTCTCATGAAACCTAGTAAAATATTCCTAAGAAAGCTCACAAAAACTTGCATAATGTGCATAAATTATCGCATCACAGCCCATTCTTACCGGATAACCTGCCTTGAAAATTTTATGCAATTTCTGTTTTTTATTGCACAGTATCATATTATTAGCCTGACTCAACCGCTAATCGTAGTAGCCAGTATTTTCTACAGGCGTGTTCTGTAGGGCATTCAAATAAAAATATCTCAAACCAGAATTTTAAAGTTTTCTTTAAATCAAGATGTATACATACTTGTACATGTATCAACCCTACATGTATGTCATTACTATGTGTGCATGAAAATGTTGGGGTCACCTTGGTCATGTAGGAGAAACCAAACATTTTATTTTGCTGTTGAGCTTATCTTGAAAGAAATCTCTCAGTGTTGTGTACATGTATGTGCACATACTCATGCACACCAGCAAGGGATGCAAAAATCATGCACAGCAAGGAAATGCAATGCAATTCAGTGGAGTCACCATAATGTGCCTCTATATTGTGTAGTGTAATGCAGAGTTTTCAAATTTAGCTGGCGCCTGGCGCAAGTCACCGGCTACTTTAAGCATTTGCGCCGGGTACTTTTCGTATTCCAAATTTTATTAGGTAATAGACAATTCTGTTTCACCAATGTAATCGTGATCTGATCTTTTTGAGAAAATAAATAAGCGCTAACAGATGAAAAAAAAATACTTTAACAGGCGGCTGTTATATGTACCTTTCGAACTTCGAAGGAAGAGCATTTTTTGGCAGAAAGTCTGCTCATATGCACAGACGTGCATGTATTGGCATGGCAGCACTGAGATTTCTTCTCATGTGCACAGTTTCCAAGATGAAGCAGAGGCAGCAAACAATGCTGTCCTTTCTTTCCACAGCCGAGAAGTCACGAAGACAAACAGGTGACAGTAATTTTAGGAATGGGCAGTAACAGTGGGCAGTAATGTGTTGTTCCAGTTCTGAAAGAGACGATAAAACAATCCGACCAACAGTATCTGTGGCTCTAGCCACGTTCGCGTGGTGAGTGCGAAGGCAGTCTTCCTCATGAAATGTTACTCATTATGACTGCACCAAATGTATTTTCAACGAAAGGTTGAAAGAAGTCTTAACAACAAAACCCTTCAACAACGCAAGTGTTCAGAATTTCGGACAAACGAACTGCGAATACGTTCAGAAAGAAACGAGATCACTGACTTTGTTGTGATACTTCATGTATGTAGAAGGAAAGATATCAACGGAAGTCACCTTATGGAAATATTACGTTAATTCCCTTTATTTATCTGCAGCTCTCTTTCATTACGAAGGCAAAAGCGATCTTGAACCAGAACTGGAGGAAAATGCATTTTGGGGGTCAAAACGAAGAGTTTTCTCTAAAACTGAATTCAAGGAAAATGTATTCACTTTTTAAACTTCTCTGGTATATTAGGTTTAAAGAATAAACATTAAAAATTGACATGTGAGGTGCTTACCATTTAGCAAAAAAAATCCAGAAATTTTGGTTCAAAGTCAAATGGAACTGTAATTTTCCAGAAAATCCGTTAGGAAATTGTAGACTACCTCCAGAAGTAGTCTTTTTTCCTTACCATTTGGTAAATTGTCCAGTTTCCAGTCTCTCATCAGCCGAAAACAATTATGAGGAATGGAATTGCAAATAGTAAGAGCCATCTCGTTCGGTTGGTTTGCTGATTTTGGAAAAACCCTTTCCCTTATTCAATGGTCATCCCAACCGTTTTATTCTGACAAGTGGTAAGCACCCATATATTCACTGCTTTTGTTAGATGCACCAGACATGGAAGGGTCTCGTATACACAGCATATCAGATGCTAAAATTTTTAAAACAACTAATTAACCATGTGGCCATGGGCCGAGCATGGATCATGTTCTACACTATGTTTATTTATGTATTTTTTTTTTCGTTTTGTCGTTGATCAGACCCAAACTTTCTCTCAGCCAAATTTTGAATCACGCAACTTGTTATGTTTATTTGCCAAAAGCTGTTCAAACATTAATACACGGACAATGTTACGGATATTGTTTTCTTTATTGTGGGTAAAATATATTGGATTCAAAGGGAATAATGAATACGCTAAAAAAGGTATTACATCAGCCATGGAATGCGCTGACGTTGCAGCTTTTTAATTTATTTTCGCTACTTGACAAATAAGATCGTGTTTACTTTGCAAGTTTATTTCGCCAGAAGTGACAGTCATCAATTTATTTGCAATTTTGCGAGTATTTCTTGTGGGTCTCGGCAAATGAAGTGAATTCTTTGGCTGTTTCATTGCAGCAAGTTAAGAGATTTGAAGAAAAATTAAATATTTGCTGAGGTAAACAAGAGCTTGCCAGAACTTGCAGCGTTTAAGTCAGTGCTAGGGGAAAGAACACAACCGTTCTAAAATTAGCCGTGGATAGCGTAAACCCTCGGATTGTGTGACTTGCGTAACTACTTCAAAGCACAAACAAATTAAATTTTGACTTTTCAAGAAGAAAGCTGTTTATTAAAAGCAGTATTAATAGCATGATACTTGTTTCCTTTTGTATCATTCATGGGCATATCCCGAGCCAACTTCCAGATTAAGACCGTTATGTCGTCATAGATTTCACAAAGGCTAAGATTGATGGTGCAATAGCACAGTTTGTGTTGATCAAGTGATGTGTTTACAGTAATCAATGAATCATCAAGGACTGCTTGCATTGTGACTGTAGCATTAACAAAACAGTTCAATTTTAAAAGTGCGGTTATAAGATCTAAAAGATCTTCTTGTTTTACAAAGTTTTTCAACACTAACCCTAGTTGATAAGTGTAGAGTGGCCTTCAACAAAATCAGTTTGCAATAAAATGCACCAGAATAAACTTCAAGGCACCCTGATTTTCAAAATTTTCTTGGGGGAGCACCCAATTCCCCTGTGCAGAAGGGTACATATATCTGCCAGGTTAGAAAACTACTGGTCCAAACATAGGTGCACAGGCCAGAGGGCGGGGGTCTGCAGTCCTCCCAGTTTCAGAAATTTTTCAAATTTTTTGGGCAAAACGCTGATAATTCAGGCAAAAGTACTCAGGAGAAAATATTCTAAAAGGTTTTCAGGCTACTTTCTCTGATGTTTGCCTTGAAAAAGCAGAGTTCAGGTCAAGTGATATAAGGATCCACTCAGCTACATGTATTCTATTTTGGAAAAGCCCTACAGTGAAACCTGTATTAAGCAGACACCCTTCGGACACTCATTGGTGTCCGCTTAATACAGGGTGTCTGCTCTAAACAGGTTCAGCAATGATGTATAGTTAATTATTGACCCTTTTGTAACATAGTGTAAGATCAAAGACTGCTCATAGCACAATGTCCAGTCAGTCAATGCATCAGTCTGGAATAATCTACTTAGCTTTAATACGACATTGCTGAGCAATGTTAAAGGAGTCTGAGCTGAGCTTTTAGAGGTAAAAAGCCCTTGAAGTGGCCGCTTATTGCAGGTTTTGTGCAACAAAATGGCTTAATATTGTGTCCGTGTCTGCTTAACAGAGGTGTCCATTCAGTGCAGGTTTATTTTACTGTGGGAAGAAAATTTAGGGACTCGAGTTAGTGTCCACTTAATAGAGGGTATCTGCTTAAATATGGGGTCTGCTTAATACAGGTTTCACTGTGTCTGTTTTAAATGAGTATCTTGGAAATGCACAAGATAGATAGATATTTCCATCAACAAAACAATGACAAAAGAGTCAAAACAAACAAAGACCAAGACTTGTTTTTGTGGTGGCTCTGAAAAGAGCCATTTTGAATAGCTTCACAAAGAGCTTTTCGTATGAGGAAGAATGAACTTTTTCTTTTTTAAGTGTCTGATTTTTCTAGGCCCTCAGTGGAGGTCACAGAGTATACAAGGTTTCAAAGTAAATATTTTTGGAATGATAACAGTTTCATTAGATGTGAAACATTTGAAGGTTTTTTTTTTTTTTTTTTTTTCAGGTAATAAGGTCTGTGCCCCACCCCCCAAAGTCTGAAGGTCCCCGTACACCTATGGGTCCAAAATTGTGAAATGGTATAACTGAAACATGAGTAATGAAATGAAATGCACTGCTACATGTACCACCAGTGATAAAACCAGTTGTGTTTAGAATAAACAAAGCGTGATGTAAAGTACAGTCTTTAAAGTATGAAAAATGCAAGATGTTGTCATCATTATGGTACTCCTGTACCTTTCCATTAAGGTCTAAGTCTAACATGCAGCTCCAAGACCTCTTTCACTTCTTGCAAAGGCAGACCTATAATGGAAAATAAGTGAGAAAGAATCTCACCTTAAACTTTATCTCTGCCAATTCAAAGATACAGAACATTTCATTTGGTTTGGTAACCTGAATCAATTGACAAAGAGCAGACTGAAGTGTTTATTTGATAGCATTGAAACCCTGGTAAGAAATCTTTATCTAGCCCCTAATCCCTCTAGGAAATATATCACTTTTAGACCCTGCTACACCTGAGAATTTCTGCGACTGTCCATAGGGTGTGCATGGGTATTGCTTTGAAACCATTTATTTTACTTTGAAAGATTAAATTACATTGCAGGCCTTTGTTGGGAGCAGTATTGTACAGTTGATTATCGTGTTATTAATAATATAAATTTGTTTATGTTTTTCAGGATTGTAGTTGTGCTTGCAGAGCTCATAAAAGTCTTCACATTTACACAAAATCCTCAACAACTTCATGTATTTGAGACAGCGCTTAATCCTAAAGGTATGCTGCACTCTATGCTATACTATATGAAGAGTGTACAATCATATGCTATTAGAAAACTCATATGCTAACTATATTGATGAAGTATGTGTACATGTATCATTTTGAATTTAAAAAAGTGCACTAATCTCCACTTGTCATGAGAAACTTACATGTAATTGACTGACTGTTGGAGAATCTATTAAGTATATAATAGCTGTTGTAAAGGGGTAAAAGTGAAGTAACCTTAACATGGCCAATGCAGTAATTAAACAGAATGCAAATCAATTTTGTCAAGCCTAAACAGAAACCTTACAGTATTTTATTTTTTGCATTAAACTCCACGATATTACATCCAATTCTGGCAAATTAGCATCTAAAATAATATACAAATTAAAGTATAATGCGTGATGTTTTGTACATGTACAGTCATGTAGAAAGTAATTGCAGGGCTGGGTGCAAAACCATACATGTATGTGGAACTTAGATTATATTTTGTTTTTTATTTTCATCTAATTTCGCCAGAAAAAAGCTCAAAACATGTTCCTGTTCCACAATAAAGCAAAAAAGGTTGTTTTGCTTCAAAGTTTGAAAGCACTAAACTTGCATTACTTCAAAAAATGGCAAAATGTTTATTTAAATGTAATATGTCCATGTGCATCCTCAAAGATGTTGATTTCCCTTAGTAATGTTGATTACACATATAGGCCCAACCTCAAAGACTGTATGGATTTCACTTAAGAAACAGTAAAATGTTGTTTTCAGTTCAACATGCTACCTTAAAGATATTCATATTTATATTCATACTGTAAACAGTGAAATGTTGATTAAAAGTCAATATGCGGCCTCGAATGTTGGTTTCTACGGTAGCCCAGAAGGATCACCAACCGTTTTTGTTTTTGTTTTGTTTTTTTTAAATTTTTGTGTTTTTTTTTAAATTTTAATTTCTTTTTAATTTTGTATTTCTAACTTTTGTTTTTGTTTTTGTTTTTTTATTTTGTTTTTGTAATTTCTGTTTTAGTTTTCGTTTTGCCTTTCGTTTTAATTTTGGTTTCTGTTTTGCGTTTTTTGCGTTCAAAAAGAAAACAAAAACAAAAACATTAAACAAAAGCAAAAACGAAATCGAAAACGAAAACGGCCGAAACAAAATCGATGAGTGTAGACCATCATGCTTTACTTGCAGTTGGGAACTTAACAATCCATGACGCGAAATTAGTAAGTACGGGACGTTTACCACAATTGGGGTCTTTGTACTGTGTGCCACTCATGTGTGGGGTACCTAAAGGCAAATTCTGAGGATTAAGACAAATATCGTGACAAATGCTCAAGTCTTCCCTCAGTGGCCTAAGTAAGGTATGAGTCCCTTCCAATATTTTCTCCTTCGCCAAAAGGAGCTCGCATGCAATATGTTTGCATCTGTAAAGTTTCTATCACGCGCAAACACGAAAACCTCAAACAATAAAATAGAAATAAAACACAGAACACGCAAACAACGAAACGATCATCGTAGAATAAGAAAATAATTTCTTCGCTGCTTTTGAAGCCAGTAGAAGTTTAGGGCCGCAGCCAGATTGCCAAAACAAATGAGGCAAGTCTTGCAAGCTCCGAAGGCGCGCGTGCAATAATTAGTTCATTGTTCCTTAGTTCATTCGTTTGCGTGAGGCTTGAGAGCTCTGCAAATGATATGCTTTTATTTATACAACGATGAAGAAATATCCTTGACTTTACTTGAAATCTTTGTGACCTTTGTACTTGCTATATTCTTCTCCCAAGNATAAAGTTCTACTGCGTGAAATTTTTGGAAAAGAAATATTAGTTTCCATGATGGCAACCTTTTTTTTTTCCAGAAAGTACTTTTTGCGTCTTTTCTAACGAGATGTGGTAAACTTCTCTGCTGTAAATGCTTCGTGAGAGTATTATGTAAAGAATATCATGAGATAGAATGAGTTAAACAGAATGCGCTGGTTTAGTTAACTTAGTTGATTGTTTGGATCATATTCATGGTAAGATGCGTAAGTTACTGGAACAGTAGGAGTGATATAGTATACACACAAAAATTAGTTCATACAAAAATGTTCGATAGTGATAACTATAACAAGTTTAGTGGGGTTAGGGCTCCTATTGTGATCTGTTTAGGCAACTAGAAACAGTTACCATAGGTTGACTTCACTTTTGAATAGCCAAGTTTGTTAGTTCCATTGTGCAAAAAAAGGACTTAATCCATTTTCATTCAGTGTGTGCCATTCTTCATACAACTGGCCTCTAATTCCAGAAGTTCGAAACACTACAAATCATACTGATTTTAAATAAAATCAGTTGAAAGTAATGTGGATCACAAATCTCTCTACCAGTCGATCACTACTTGTTGGTCATTATCTTTGGGACTCTCTGCATCAGTAAATTTGATGAATACATATCCTCTACTGATACTCTTGCAATTTCAGTGCCATGAGTTTATTGTTGTTATATGTAAGTAGACCACGAAACATCCACACGTCAACTCACATGCAGGAAAGGATGGCGGCCAATTTCAAGACAAATTTCACCCCTCTAAAATCAGATCTTGCTTTACAAACTTTGATGCTGGCAACCCTTGGCAAATAGACAACAAGCCATGGGAAATCCTGCCTCAGACATGCTTGAAGTAAATAATCTCCTGAAAAACAAAAGTCCCTGGAGACAACCAAGAGGATTTACAATGTTATACATGCTTATGAGTTTTACCACAGGTAGCCAAGGTAACTTCTCTTAGCATTTGTATTGATCTCAAATTCAATTCAGAGGAGTTCCATGTCTGTTTAGAAACGATGGCCTTGTAAAGCAGTCAATTCTGGCATTTGTTGCTGGGATTGTATTGCTGACTATAAACAATTATTTAATATGCACGATTTGTAGAAGAAGTGCAAAATTATTGTATAATCTTATTTTGTGGATTTCAGAGCTTCCTGATAGGTCACTTTGGTTACCTGTGGTCATGCACAACACAAACCAGTCAAATGACCAGTCACAGACAAATTTCTGCAAAAAAAAAAAAAAAAATTATTTCTAAAACTACATGTACATAAACCAGTAATCATGCAACTTTCCACTGAATAACCTAGTAATTTGTGAGTGTTTAAGATATGCCATAATTAATTTTTTATTTGAATGTTTACATTGTAGGCCTCTGTGTCTTATGTCCAAGCAGTAACAACTCTTTATTAGCATTTCCTGCACGTAAGACCGGACATGTACAGATTGTGGACCTGGCCAACACTGAGCGAGCTCCACAGGAGATTGCAGCCCATGAAGCTGCTTTGAGTTGCATTGCGATGAATTTACAGGGAACACGACTAGCCACAGCTTCAGAAAAGGTGCCTTATACAGTGTAATGTTTGTAATACTCATTGCACCATTTGTCTGTGGTTAGAACATCACCTCAATCTAAATTGTTCTATTGGGATTAGCCATTTCCTGTCTCTAGTAGCTGTTTAATAACAATTTTTTCCAATAATTAATTAATTTTTTGCTCTAAGTGCTGTAAGTTACATCTACGTGTGTAGCCTGGTAGCTGCGGTTTTAGTGGGTTTTGGTGGCTATTATTGTGGCACGGGGAGAAACAGGCTGTCCGGATCCTTGGGTTTTTTATTGCCACCTCTTCCAACACCTTTTATTTATTCAATTAGTCCAACCAATCAGAGAGGTGTTCGTAAAATGAAACTTGTTGATTTCAACAAATCAGTTGAAAAGAATTGCACGAGCTTTTGTCGCGAAGGGCGATACGCCAAAAAAAATAAATAAATAAATAAATAAAGCGAGGAAGACTTCCTAACCTGAGAGGTACGAATGATTTTTACAGATTGTGTTGTTGTCCTTTGAAGATTAAATTCGGTGATTTTCAAAACCTTCGTATATTTCCACGAGGCCCTGTTAGGGGGGGTACCCATGTCCCCTGTCTGAAATTCGCCACCAGCCATGTCGGCATTTCGCAAGATTCTTATGTCGCCTGTCGGAATTTCGTCTCAGCGGAGTTGTGTCAGGAAATTTGACCTTTTTCGATTAAAACGAAGCTACATGTATAACACATCGTAATACCTTTGTTTATTAAAAAAAAAAACCGACACAG